GTCCTGTTCTTTATTTAACGCGTCTCAGCAAGGTTATGCAAATTGGGAAGTCATGGGGCAAGATCCCAATTTTGAGTAAAGGTAAATCAGTACGCTGTTGGTCACCCCGTGTGTAGAGATACCCTGTTCTTTTCTGCCATCCAGCTCATACACAGTTGGATTTGCGTTCTCTCTTTGCACTTACCTTCTGTCCATCCTCTTTCTACGATTTGGATGAAGTGGTGAACAGCTTTGATCTGACTGTTCATAGAGAGACTAGATGATCTGAAGGATGGAGACTTGATGCAGATCTGTAAAATCACGAGTAATGTGGGCAGGGTAAATAGGGAGTTGCTGTGTTTGCTCATTACTCGCACAAGAAGCGGAGGACTTCAAATGAAACTAACAGATGTCACAAGCGAAAGAAAGTGGCTCCACGTGCCATGGGTAGTTTGTGCTGTGGAACTTCTTGCTGCAAGATGCTGCAGGCACAGGCATTTTTATTTCAGTTAAAAAAGGGACCAGACAGGATGATGGAAGACAAATGGATTGAGGTCTGTTATGTGCAAAGATGAGACATTTGCCTCAGGAAGTCTGAAGTTCGACATTGCAGGAAGCCAAGAGAGTATTCCAAGGGGAAAAAAATTGAGGAAATATGTCTGAGCATTTACTGCACAGACAACCATTCTCCTGTTTTTCTTCAGAAAAGGGCTGCAGCTTGGCTGAGTTCATTTTGGAGCACAGCCTTAGTCTGCAGGCTGCAGTTTAGCCAAGAAAGTATTAGGAAACATTTCACTCTGATGCATTTGATGTTTTTCTGCTGATTCTTGGTGTCCATTGACCTTGTCTGCATTGAGCCAGCACAGAGGGATACGGCTAAGACACAAACCTTAGTTTGCCTTGAGTTCTTGCCCTGCTCTGTGCCACAGACATGGAGATAGAGGAGACAGAGTACATTGCTGCTTTTCAGTTCCTCCAAAACTGGTCGTGTAAGGCAAAGCTTCTCTTTCTTTTCAGCTGCACCCTGTTTTTCTTATGTTGCAGGCTGTCTCATTGTTTTTTGGGAGTCTATTCATTCCCTGCTTACGTGAAAGCTTTTGAGTTTCAGAACAACGTTAGAGGAGTCATTAACCACCTTCAGGAATCGTGTTATTTGTGGTACCATGTTTCCCACTGTGGAGAGTTGCTGTTACTGTCTTTTTCTAGGAGATGACCATGTTGCTGACAGGTTTCTCATCTGCATAGTTTTCAGGGCCACAACCAAAAGAGCCAGGCAGCAATGCCTGCCCTCTTCTGCTGGGACTGTATGCTACAGGAGATTGTGTTCTTTATCTCCACACTTTCAGGTAGGCTTCAATACCTTTGAGCCCAAGATGACCGAGGGAACCCATCTGAGCATTTGCAGTAGTAGTCTTTGGTTTTGTATTCTCAGCAAAAGAAAAGGTGAAGGCACTGAATGCTGTCTTGCTGAAAATGCATGTTCCTTGTTGGGATTTTTCACATAAAGCACCCTCACTTGGTGCACGTGTTCAACAACAGGTATTTATACAAGTTTATTTTCTGGACTTGGACAGAGACAGCCAAAATGTACCATCTGACCCCCACCATCATTTTTATTTCTATGTGCTCTGTCACATTCCCTACCAGGTAAGATTTGACAGAGATGTCAGTAGCAGACATGTAGTCTAGTTGGAGTTCTCTTAGCAGCTGCCCTGGCCCTACAGTCCGAAGTGTAGAGTTAAAAGGTGTTCTATCGTCCTGTCACAAACACAGGTTTTAAGATCCTGACTGGACTTCAGCCTCCAAATAGAGATCCAAAGAACTCCAAATAGTTTCTCCAAAGAATTTCAGATCCTCATAATGAGCAAGCCATTTGAACCTGCTGCTATTTGTCAGCTGCTTTACTTGTATGTGAAAAGGGTGAGTGAGCTCCAGATCTGACTATTTCCCAGCCTTTCACAATGAAGGGGACATGTCCTAGAATGTATCAAAAGCTTTTGACAAAGAAAAAGCTCCTTTTCTTTTGCAAAGCTCATACTGGTTCAGTCATATGTTGCATGGCATGGCATGCTTCTGTCTTTTAAGACAGACACATTTGTGATATACTCAGTGTTAGAGATATCAGGTATGGCTTTATCCCTTTATTCGTGTCTGTGAGGCGTGCAGGAGCAGGGGGACCCGAGGTGTGCCATTGAGGTAACTGCTATCATAAAAATATTCCCAATAGTACTGGGGGAAGAGTACTGTTAGGATGAATGGATAAAGGCATCTGGAAGAAAACCAGTAGTTTGCGAACAGCTGTAAGTTTTTAATATTACTGCTCTCCCTTGCTCCCATGCGGCGGCTTCATACCATCTCTCCGGTGGTGGCTACCAGCCCCACAGCACAGCTGCTAGAAAAAGGACAGATGCTCTCTGAACAACTTCAGTGCAGTGTCCCAGGCCAACTGAAACCCCCACTGCTACTTTTGGCAGTTTCAGATAAGCACACATCGATAGGGGGGTGCATGAGCTGTGAGCACGCACTGACGAGCCGTGAGGGGAAGCAGTGGCATCAGCTGCCACAGCTGTAAGTTGTCACTGTCTGTATGTGTGTCTGTGACTTTAGGGTTCTTGTCTGGAAGCTGAGCTTATCTTAGCTATTAAAGGTTTTAATTTTATTGGTTTCTTCAGCATTTGAGAAATATTAAAATAAGGAGAAAAAAAAATAGCTTTGCTTACACCCGTATCTAACTGGACCAATGCTCTAAGGCTTTGTGGAGCAACAGTAGTATTTTGATGTAAATAAGCTGTTTGAGAATGTTGACATTGTTTAAAAACAAAGTCTAAATTTGAAAATAACAGAATTGCTAATGTGAGATAATGGGGATAGAGAAACATTTTTGATACAGATCTTCACATTGTTTCCACTTTGAGAATAGACATCTGCAGTATGTGGTGCTGTATTATGTATTTGAGTTATATTATACAGACAAATATAAAAAAGACTCTTGCCTTTAAGGCTTTATCACAGTTAGATGAAATGCATACCAAAAATTAAAAAACATCAGTAGACATTAGTAGAAAAAAATGAGCTTGTACTGGTGTGATGTTAATAATACATATGTTTTATTTCTACAACTTCTAGTTATTCATGAGTGGTCTGTCTGTGGTTTTATCAGGTTATTATTTGCTTACTCCATTAGGAACAAATTCTTAAATAATATTTTAAAATAGTTTATTAAAAAAGCCGGTAAGAACAGAACCGCTATAGCATACAGAATTAAGTAGAACCTCTCCTGTTAAAAAAGTATTTTTCTTACTCCATTTTCCTGTAGCTGCATAGTGTCTTTTGAAAATAGCAACTCAATTTTTACAATTTAAGTTGTATGAAATATAGGGTTTTTTGCATTTTCTTTCCCATAAGAAAGCAATAGTTGATGTAATGTTTCCGTACTGCTGTTCAGATATGACCCTTCAGTGTTTCCAGGTAGGCAGAGGTCAACATGTGAGGAAGGAAGGAATTGCAAAGCTAACAAATGTAACTATGTTTGTTTGACTTCCAGTATAACCTCAGTGTTAGAGAGATGCGGCTGCAATAAATAACATTTATTCTGACATCTGGCGTAGCTTTTACCAGTAATTATCAGACACTCTTTAATTTTCCTTTTCCATCACAACCCCATGGTGCAATTACCGAGTTGTGTTGGCAGGTGAAGGTGTATTAATAAGACAGAAGACAAAAGGAAAGCCATGGGGGCCAGGAATAAAGTAGGGAAGGAAACGGACGCACGGCGGAAGGGCACGACAGCAGGAA